CGGAGGTCCTGAGCGCCTGGCCCATCGGAGGCCCTCAGCGCCTGGCCCATCGGAGGCCCTGAGCGTCTGGACCATCGGAGGCCCTGCGCGTCTGAACCATGGGAGGCCCTGAGCGCCTGGCCCATCGGAGGCCCTGCGCTTCTGGACCATCGGAGGCCCTCAGCGCCTGGCCCATCTGAGGGCCTGAGCGCCTGGCCCATCGGAGGCCCTGCGCTTCTGGACCATCGGAGGTCCTGAGCGCCTGGCCCATCGGAGGCCCTCAGCGCCTGGCCCATCGGAGGCCCTGAGCGTCTAGGCCCTGCGCGTCTGAACCATGGGAGGCCCTGAGCGCCTGGCCCATCGGAGGCCCTGCGCTTCTGGACCATCGGAGGCCCTGATCGTCCGGCCCATCGGAGGCCCTGAGCGCCTGGCCCATCGGAGGCCCTGAGCGCCTGGCCCATCGGAGGCCCTGAGCGCCTGGCCCATCGGAGGCCCTGCGCGTCTGGCCCATCGGAGGCCCTGAGCGTCTGGACCATCGGAGGCCCTGCGCGTCTGGACCATGGGAGGCCCTGAGCGCCTGGCCCATCGGAGGCCCTGCGCTTCTGGACCATCGGAGGCCCTGAGCGTCCGGCCCTTCGGAGGCCCTGAGCGTCCGGCCCTTCGGAGGCCCTCAGCGCCTGGACCATCAGAGGCCTCAGCGCCTGGACCATCAGAGGCCCTGAGCGTCCGGACCATCGGAGGCCCTGAGCGTCCGGACCATCGGAGGCCCTGAGCGCCTGGACCATCAGAGGCCCTGAGCGTCCGGACCATCGGAGGCCCTGAGCGTCCGGACCATCGGAGGCCCTGACCGCCTGGACCATCAGAGGCCCTGAGCGTCCGGACCATCGGAGGCCCTGAGCGTCCGGACCATCGGAGGCCCTGAGCGTCACATACTTGGAATGACTGAGTCTGGCGGCGGCGCTGCACTCGGCACACAGGGACAAGCGGCTCATTCATGCGACGTGCCGGTGCTTAGCGGGAGATAAGTAGCTTTCCACCAGAAACAAAGAGAGATTAGCATCCCCCCCCCTCCCCCCACCCGAGTGTTAGCATCCCCTGCCTGAATGTTAGCATCCCCTTCCAGAGTGTTAGCATCCCCTCCCCAAATGTTCAAATGTTAGCATACCCCCTGAGTGTTAAGGCCTGTGTACAACAGTTGCAGTTGCGTTGGACCTACGTAGCCACAGTTGGTGGTACACTCACTCGTTCCCCACAGCGGCGAGCCAGAAGAGAATGTTGTAATCCCACATCCAACCACATGATGGCGATCTCACAGGAGCTACCTGCGAAACCAAAGCGGTCCCATTTACGCTGCTACAGTCTCCTCTTCAGAACAAAAACAAAGTGAAGCTGTTTGAGCTCATTACATGTGTTTCTACGGTAGGTTTATGTGACCGTTCTAAACTCATCGTTTCAACTCATTTAACTGTGATGTTCTGAATAAAGACACAGTTCTTGTTGGAAACTACTTTTCCTTCGGTTCCTTCGAAGCACAAAGCTACCTCTGAAGGGCCTCGTCCATGCTCCCTGCAGCCGCTCCGTGCTTCCTTCCAAACCACACATTTGGACCAATCACAGCAGAGCTTCTCTGCGGCGGCGGCTGCGTAGTTTGAGGCGGGCTACACAAGAGTCTCGCTGGGATCGTCACAACACCACCGTAAGCTCCGCGTCACGTGACCACACTAGGCTTTAGCATTCCCCTGAGTGTTAGCGTCCCCTCCCAGGACTACACAGAAAAGACAAATGATAATTATTATTATTCCAGTTTTTAACGTTTACTAATAAGTGCTGAAGTGAACAGGTCCTGATGAAGATCCAAGATGGACGTCTGTGTAAGAATAAAGGATTTCCATCTCATAACCCGAAGCCTCAAACCTTTCTTCTTTCTTCTTCATCTTATTTTCCCACGATCCTCCAGGAGCACCTCACGTTTGTTCTACATTTCCTCTCTCTCTCTCACACACTCTCCCTCTCTCTCCCCCCTCCCTCCTCTCTCTCTCCCTCCTTCTCTCTCTCTCTCTCTGCAGAGGGCATTAAACTAGCTGCAGCCAATCAGAGTGTGTTGTTCCCGAGGCTGTGACCCTGAGATGAGTCTTGTTCCTTCCATAATGAAGTCAGACTTAACCCTGACTCTCTTTAACACCGAGGAGACAGGACTCAGATGTTTATGAACGGGAGATAAAGTCTGCAGCGAAACATTATTATAACAACAATATCATGACAACAGCATCGGCCTCGACACCACAAACACACACAAACACACACAGATTTGTAAATACTTTAGAACAAAGACAAAAGGAGCAGGAGGTTTAAGGAAAATGATGATTCTAGCTCTACAGCCTCTCATGTCTCTCTCTGGTCTCTCTCGGGTCTTTCTCTGGTCTCTCTCATGTCTCTCTCTGGTCTCTCTCTGGTCTCTCTCGGGTCTCTCTCTGGTCTCTCTCGGGTCTCTCTCTGGTCTCTCTCTGGTCTCTCTCTGGTCTCTCTCTGGTCTCTCTCTCTGGCCTCTCTCTGGTCTCTCTCTGGTCTCTCTCTGGTCTCTCTCGGGTCTTTCTCTGGTCTCTCTCTGGTCTCTCTCGGGTCTTTCTCTGGTCTCTCTCTGGTCTCTCTCTGGTCTCTCTCGGGTCTTTCTCTGGTCTCTCTCTGGTCTCTCTCGGGTCTTTCTCTGGTCTCTCTCTGGTCTCTCTCGGGTCTCTCTCTGGTCTCTCTCTGGTCTCTCTCTGGTCTCTCTCTGGTCTCTCTCTGGTCTCTCTCTGGTCTCTCTCTGGTCTCTCTCTGGTCTCTCTCTGGTCTCTCTCTCTGGCCTCTCTCTCTGGCCTCTCTCTGGTCTCTCTCTGGTCTCTCTCTGGTCTCTCTCGGGTCTTTCTCTGGTCTCTCTCTGGTCTCTCTCGGGTCTTTCTCTGGTCTCTCTCTGGTCTCTCTCTGGTCTCTCAGTCCTGGGTCTACAGCCTCAGTCCTGGGTCTACAGCCTCAGTCCTGGGTCTACAGCCTCAGTCCTGGTCCTGACAGTAGTAGTGTGTGTGTTATTGGCTGTATGGGAGAGGTGTGAAGCGGTGAGACATTGGCACAGAACAGCCTGGATCAGAACAGCCTGGATCAGAACAACCCCGGAGATTGCACCATCCTCCTCGTTCTGTCGTGACTCGTGCTCCTACAAGGAGCTGCTGGCCTAAAACTTTCAATTTCACATTTCAAACATGCCACAGTTTCTGACGCCGTTTTAGCTTCGAGAAAAAAAATCCTATTAAAGAAATATGTGTTGAGCGTGTTTTTCACTTTACGTTTGGCAGATGCTGATGGACCAGCATAACATCACCATCTGGTCTCTCTCTGGTCTCTCTCTGGTCTCTCTCTGGTCTGTCTCTGGTCTCTCTCTAGCCTCTCTCTCCCTGATCTCTCTCTGGTCTCTCTCTCTGGGCTCTCTCTCTGGTCTCTCTCTCTGGTCTCTCTCTGGGCTCTCTCTGGGCTCTCTCTCTGGTCTCTCTCTGGGCTCTCTCTGGGCTCTCTCTTTGGTCTCTTTCTCAGGTCTCTATCTCTCTGGTCTCTCTCTGGTCTCTCTCTGGGCTCTCTCTCTGGGCTCTCTCTCTGGTCTCTCTCTCTCTCTGGGCTCTCTCTCTGGTCTCTCTCTAGCCTCTCTAGCCTCTTTCTCCCTGGTCTCTCTCTGGTCTCTCTCTCTCTGGTCTCTCTCTCTGGTCTCTCTCTCTGGTCTCTCTCTCTGGTCTCTCTCTCTCTGGGCTCTCTCTCTCTGGTCTCTCTCTGGGCTCTCTCTCTCTGGGCTCTCTCTCTCTGGTCTCTCTCTCTCTGGTCTCTCTCTCTCTGGTCTCTCTCTGGGCTCTCTCTCTCTGGTCTCTCTCTCTCTGGTCTCTCTCTGGGCTCTCTCTCTCTGGTCTCTCTCTCTGGTCTCTCTCTCTCTGGTCTCTCTCTGGGCTCTCTCTCTCTGGTCTCTCTCTCTCTGGTCTCTCTCTGGGCTCTCTCTCTCTGGTCTCTCTCTCTCTGGTCTCTCTCTGGGCTCTCTCTCTCTGGTCTCTCTCTCTGGTCTCTCTCTCTCTGGTCTCTCTCTGGGTCTCTCTCTCTGGTCTCTCTCTCTCTGGTCTCTCTCTGGGCTCTCTCTCTCTGGTCTCTCTCTCTCTGGTCTCTCTCTCTAGCCTCTCTTAAAGAATAGCGTGTTGAGCTTGCCGTGTTTTTGTCCTTACGTTGGCAGCGTCTAACGCGGGTCCAGATGGCGAGATGGCGAGTGTATACGTGCCGGAAAAGCGGAAATGTAATTAGCGTCTGGCATTAACTTTAATTCAGAATGTTAATCAGGACTCAAAAGACTCGGAGCGAACATTATTTAATCAATGTAAGTTATTCACGTCCACGTCGCTTTTATTCTGAGGCCGGCTTGTTTATCGTAGGGTTTCTCCACTGACTGCCTAACATTAATCCTAAAGTCATTCAAAGCATAAGGCTCACTGATGCTATTATTATTATTATTGTTATTATTAATAACTCTGGTCTCTCTCTGGTCTCTCTCTGGTCTCTCTCTGGTCTCTCTCTGGTCTCTTTCTGGTCTCTCTATGTTCTCTCTCTCTGGTCTCTCTCTGGTCTCTTTCTGGTCTCTCTATGTTCTCTCTCTCTGGCCTCTCTCTGGTCTCTTCCTGGTCTCTCTCTTTGGTCTCCCTCTTTGGTCTCTCTCTGGTCTCTCTCTCTGGTCTCTCTCTGGTCTCTCTCTCTGGTCTCTCTCTGGTCTCTCTCTGCTCTCTCTCTCTCTGGTCTCTCTCTCTCTGGTCTCTCTCTCTGGTCTCTCTCTGGTCTCTTCCTGGTCTCTCTCTTGTTCTCCCTCTTTGGTCTCTCTCTGGTCTCTCTCTGGTCTCTCTCTCTGGTCTCTCTCTGGTCTCTCTCCGGTCTCTCTCTGGTCTCTCTCCGGTCTCTCTCTCTGGTGTCTCTCTCGTCTCTCTCTGGTCTCTCTCTGGTCTCTCTCTGGTCTCTCTCACTGGTCTCTCTCTGGTCTCTCTCTGGTCTCACTCTTGTCTCTCTCTCTGCTCTCTCTCTCTGGTCTCTCTCGTCTCTCTCTGGTCTCTCTCTGGTCTCTCTCTGGTCTCTCTCTGGTCTCTCTCTGGTCTCTCTCACTGGTCTCTCTCTGGTCTCTTCCTGGTCTCTCTCTGGTCTCTCTCTGGTCTCTCTCTGGTCTCTCTCTGGTCTCTCTCTGGTCTCTCTCACTGGTCTCTCTCTGGTCTCTTCCTGGTCTCTCTCTGGTCTCTCTCTGCAGTAGCTGACCCTGAAGGGGACCATATGAACCTGTTAGCACCAGGGACTTTGAGTGAGCCCAGTGGGGGGAGGGCGGGGGGAGACAGGGGAGGGGGAGACAGGGGAGGGTGCCTTTGTCATGCGGGAGCCCAGGGCCGGAGAGGTGACTCGGCGGGGGTCAGGGGTCGTCCGCCACCGTCATCCATCTTGTGTGTTGACAGTGTCTTGTCAGGCGGCAGCTCATGTTACTAAACACACCAGCAGGTTCCTATTGTGGCTCTGCTCCGCGCCGCAACCATGTGGAAATGAAGTTAATATTGAGTGACCAGCAACCAGAAGCCACCGCTACCTCCCAGAGACCAGAAGCCACCGCTACCTCCCAGAGACCAGAAACCAACGCTACCTCCCAGAGACCAGAAACCACCGCTACCTCCCAGATTAAGATTAAGAGATTCTTTACTGGTCCCACAGTGGGGAAATTTAGTGTTGCATAGGAATGAGGAACACACAGCAATGAAAAAGAACTAAAGTCAAATCTCTAACTTTGGCATAATAAAGAAGCTAGTATAAAATCTGTAGCTTTAGCATAATAAAGAAGCTAGTATAAAATCTCTAACTTTAGCGCGGTAAGCCTCTCTAACCATGTGTGAATAAAGTTAACACAGAGTGACCCGGAGCCAGAAGCCGCCGTCACTTCGGACATAACGCTTTGTGACGCGCCGTG